TAATCTCTGGATGGTACAATGTGGGATGCGGGTGTCCCCAGAGTGGGGTGATGAGAAGAAAGCCTCTGTAGCCGGAATAAGGCTTCTGTGCTTATGACACAGAAAGAGAGCTCGAGTGTTTACAAAGAATGAAAAAGGAAAGGGTAGGAGGACAGGCGCTCAGACTTGGCTGCTGCACATTATAGCCAAGTTACATACTTAGCACCAGAATGCAAACACAGGCAGGCACAGTTCTCCTTTCAGAAGACTGAGCATGATGGTAAACATTTCGTAATCCTGGCTGCTCAGGAGGCTGGGGCAGGAGGATGAAAATTCAGGGTAAACCTGGGCAAGTTAGGGAGACGCGGTCATCACTTGGTGGTAAAATGGTTCTAGATTGGATCCCATGTACTGGGGCAGGGAGGAGAGGGGGGCAAGAGCTTACAGCAGCTGCAGGACCAACAGAAACCCAGTCTCCTTAGAAAAGAAAACATTACATGCTTTGGGTAACATATACTCAGGGCTGCCAGTTTTGAAATTTGGAAGGAGACTCTGGGTCTGCTCAAGTATAAAAACCACATTATTCTGTTGCTCGTGCATCGCCATAACAAAACACAACCTTAATCTTGTATACAAGTCAGACTTTTTATTTTTAACTCATCCCAGAAAAAACAACATCGTTTATTCCCAGAGCCTACCGTCTAGACATATGACAGAAGGTACAGTGCAGCCTCCGACACTCACTTACCCAGGAAATAATTCATTTTCCTAGTGGCTATTTCATCCAGGGACTCTCTAAGACACAAAATTATTGAGTAACACCAGCTACTCAGAGCAAAGATCTCCCACTGAAGGACACCCAGGCGTGGGCCCCCAGGCTTTGAGGCAGTCTTCCGGGCAGCCTCCCACCCTAAGTGACAGGCATCTGTCTGGGAGCAGCAGGGAGCCCTAGGCACTGACCAGGAGTGCAGTGTGCTGCCCAGAGTCCTTCTCCCTGCTGCCTCCCCAGAACCACATCCACTCTGCAGCTCAGGGCTCAGGCCCCTTCCTGAAAGGACCCCTCCATAAATGCTGTGGGGAACACTGTTGAACGGTGAAGTGCAACAGCAGAGAAGAGTGGTGAGGAGCTGCAGTTAATACCGGTGGGGTAGTTTTGTTTAGGTTTCATTTATTTCTTTGGTGACAACTGCTGTCCCCAGGACTCAGGGCATGACAACGTCTGGCCTCAGCTTGCTGAGGTCTCCTCTCAGCCCAACCCAGAAAGACAGACCTACAAAAATGTTGTGGAACAGGATGCAAATCAAATTGAGTAGGAAGATACGAAGCATCAGTGAGAAGGTGGTGGACATGGAATTAACAGCAGTGAACAGGCCTTGAGGTGTCTAAAGAAAACATGACGGGCAAAGCAAAGTCCCAACCCTGTGCGCCTGTCACTTGCCACTTGTGTGATTTTATTTTAAGTCTCTTCCTTTGGGCCTCGACTTCCTCATCTGTAAAATGGGGATCATTAATTCCACTTCAAAAAACTGTGTGATTGCGTGTTGCTATGGACATAACACAATTTATACACAACTGACCAATAACGGACACTACTACTTATTTTATTATCATTATTGTTACTAGTGCCTCTTAATCTAGCTTCAAAACTTCCTTGCTGTGCCACCTAAATCAAGCAATGTTAGCTCTCCCTGCCTTGGTTTACCTATCTGTGAAATAAAGACAATATCAGCAGCGTCACCATAGGATTACTGCTAAGGTTCAATGTTAACATTAAAAACACTTTAATACAGCCTAACACATAACGAGCTCTCAGCAGATGTTGGCAGTATTGTTCTTGCAGACTCTGTTATTCATAACCTTCCCTTTTAAAAATATGCATGCCTAATATAATCAAGAGGGCACAAGGAATGCGAAATTGCAAACTGTTTTCAGACTGCTGATAGCATACGAGAAGAGAGGTTTGCTGATACTTCTACAAAGATCATTAGAACTAATTGGAGAAAGTAAAACATTTTTTAAACTTTCCTCAATTTAGAATCTGCTACTGAAGCATCTATTCTTTGGGGACTGACAAAAATCTTCCAAAAATGGTACTGGTGAGAACAAAGCAGAATAAAATAAAATTATGGCAAAAAGTCCTCTGCTGGCTACGCGGGGAACTGCAGTCCCGTAGCACGGTGGCTGAGCGTCCTTCGGGGCTGGGGAAAGGGCTCAGCTCTGCAGTGTCTGTGTAGTGCCTTGCAGCTTAGTCAGATGATTAGGCAAAAAAGAAAAAAAGAAACAAACACAGAAGGAAGGAACTTGCATCTTCTGCATACATGATAAAGAAAAAAAAAAAAAACAACCCAGAATCCTTGACTAAATTTTGCAACCTGGAATCAGGTTATGTGCAAATTTAGCAATTTTTATGCAAACAAAATACATTCTGAAATCCCCACTTGCCTCTGTGCACAGGGAATGCGAGAACGCAGCACCTGTGTGCAAGCATCAGGGCTCCCGCCCTACAGAAGCCTCGCTGGGCATTCAGTCGTTGTTCTAGAGCCCTGGAGGCCGAGCTTTGGGGGATCCATGGCAGGCACTGGCTGGCCTGCGTACAGACCGCCTGCCATACCCGGTGTACCATTGCAGGACAAGGCCAACCCAATGGCTGGTGCCATGTGTACCCAAACTCACCTAAGCCTTGCCCTGTAGAGTCTCCTGCACTCTCAAGTCCCGTTTACTGTATATCAGGACAATATCTAGTCCTAAGGCTGACTCAAAATGGCAGAGGACATTGGGAGAAGGTGACTTTTTGTGCTAAGCTGGTTTGTGGCTCTTTTAAGGGTCCAGAGAAGAAACCCCATTGTAGTCATGTTCCTTTCTACACTCAGACAAGCCCAACTTGTGGGCAGCATATCTAAAAATGCAAACACACTAGTTTTTGCAAGCCAGAGAAGCATGGACAGAAAGACAAAGAAAGGAAAGTCAGCCTGCATATGATGATGCAGTTTTAAAGAGAGGTGGCCACACCCCCACATCAGGCCTGTTCCGAGGTCCAAGATCTGTAAGCCACTCTCAAGAAAGTCCTGATGCGCATGAGCCCTGAAGGCTACCTTCTGGAGACTAGATGGAGGCCACTCTACTCCTCCGCGTGCTTCCCATAATGTGACAGTCATCATAAATGCCAACTGGCTACTTATAGCCAAATCTCTATGGAGCTAATGTCTACCTTCCACCTTATCCTTGGGGAAAAATTCCTATTTGTACCTAAAGTGTTCCCCAAAAGAGAATGTCATTTTTTTTTGTTTTTGTTTTTTGGTTTTTTTGGCTGAACCGCGGATTGAACTCAGTCCCTTGCACTTGCCAGGGAAGCGCTTATTCTACTGAGCCATCTCCCCGGCCCCGAATGTCTCTATTTTTTATTTGGAGAGCTCATCCTTGCAACTAAGTGTTGGGTTAGGTTAGGGACAAAGGGTTAGAGACAAAGAAGACATCTAAGCAACATTAAATTTGTTGTAGAGGTCATTTTTGTTCTATTTAAGAAGGCAACGTCTTATGTTAAGGTGACTAGCAATCATTGTAGTTTTGAAACTTCCATCAAATTTGTTTATAAAGCAGATACACAAGCATTTCTGAGAGGGTGCAGCCGGATCTCCTCCTCGGACCAAGTGGCCCCTAAGAGCTCAGTGGAAGAGCGTCGTGAGCCAATGAGTAACTAGCTCGGTGGGCCCATGAGGGTTAGCTCCCCAGAGACAAGGGCTCTGAGGATGCTTCTTCGTGACATGGTTCCATACAGGATGTACTTCAGTGTTCTGGTAAGTCACCTCTGCATTACCAGGACTCCTCCTTGACATTTCTACCCACAGGTATTATCCTAAGCATGCAATCCACAAGCAATCTGACCTACAAAGGGCAGTGATGGGGTCAAAATAGAAAACACGCCAACATGAAGTAACTTTCCAGGCATCTTAGAAAGGATAAGAATGGTTTCATGCTGCTTTCTGACTAATTCAGTTTCCCAGTTTGGGAAACTGTGAATGAAGACATGCTACGTCAAAGAGAGGCAAGGAAGTTGTCCTACAAAGCTTTAAACTTCTACATCCTACCTTTTCTCCTAAAAATTCCAGAGGGTAAAATTTCCCATTGCAGTCATTAAGTGTGCTGACCTAGTGGGGCTGGTGTGGTCTGTCAGCCCTGGAAAAGGAGTGAGCGCTTCTGTAAGGAACGTAATTGAGGAGCTAGAGCTGTCCTACTTTACACAAAGCAGAGCTAAGAATCCTCATCTCCTCCTCCCGGGTTCCTGTAAGCCTTAACCCCCAAAGAAAATCAGGACCCAACACCACGCTGAAGCTTAGTTTCTGTTTGGTGGCGAGTTTTACACACACTTTGGGCAGTGCATACAGAACACAGTCCCCCCCAAATAGATGATACTCTGCACGGACAAACCAGACTCCACGACTTTAGCCTTAGGAAGCCACAGTCCCACCGACAAAAGTGTTTCTGTCTGCCACCAGCTTGTGACATGCAGGCACCCCTGGAAAGCTCTGGCATTCAGGCCCAGGACAAAGCAGAGACGCTGCCAGGGTCCAGCAGCCCAAGCTGGCATCTCCGCATGGCCTGGGCAGAGTGCAGGCATTCGCGCCAAGCCAGAGCCCTCCTTTGGGGCTCGTTAACTTCAGAGGAGATGGCTCACGCTGAGCCTCAGCCAGGTCCCTAGAGCCATGGCCCGGCCAGGGGCGCGGGCACTGGCGGCTCCAGAACCATTGCTCTCAATTTCAGCAACTCCCAGGTGCAGTCCCGCTCACTCTCACCAATTCCGAGCCAGGAAGGCCAGCTGTGTGAAGGGGGCTCACCCCCAGCCTCGGAACACTTCCCTACCACTGCCACATTTCCGCGCAGAGCATCCCGCTCCTCCATGAATTGTGCAGCCAGCACGACCTGTCTAGCAGCCCGGGCGCGCTCCAGCGCACATGTCTGTCCCCCTGCCCCTCACCCTCAGCCCAAACGAACCGCTGTCACACCGTACAATGGCGGCTCCCTACCTGAGGGTGGCGCTCTCCCCCTGCCGGACCGTCACGTTGTCCATAGCTTTGGGGAAGGTGGCATCTCCGCTTCGCACCGGCACTCCTGTGGGTACAAGGAACAGCAGCCTGAGAGATACGACCACGAGGCACTTCCAGGGCAGGAACAGGTGCCCACAGACCCCCATCCTCGACAGCCGCAACTTCCCAGAACTCGGTGGCAGCGGCTCGGCGCACGCCCCCGGCCGGGCGAGCACGGGCGGCAGGCGGGGCTGGGAGCGAGCGCAGCGCGGAGCCGCG